CGTCCTGAGAAATTAAACGGCCAACGCCGGCAAAACCTTAAAAGATACATCAAAACAATATATGTACTGGGAAATTGCAGATCTTAAAAAGGCCAACAAAAAAATGCGCAATAATTATTTGTATCTAGCGAGCGAAGTGAGTGTAAGTCGCTAGTATGTATGTATATACAAATATATATATATATATATATATATATATATATATATATATATATATATATATATATATATATATATATAAAGTCACAGTGAGTTTCGTATCGTCTTTAATACAACCGCGACACAACGAACAGTATTATAATTGCCGACATCACTATGTTACATAGTACTTTAATGACCAATGAGCACTCAAAATATAGTACAGATTATATAATTACGACTAAGTAAACAAGCTGTCGTTTATGTCTAACATATTACATACTAACGTCGGCAAAAACGTTTAGTCTATTCAAATCAAATCAAATCCTTCTTCTTCTTATAGTGCCTCTCCAACTAGTGAAGGTTGGCTATCAGCTTTTTACTGTCTTCTTTATTTATAGCTCTGCGAAATAACTCAGCGGCGCTGGCTATTCCGGTCCACTCTCGGATGTTTTGTAACCACGATTTCTTTCTTCTGCCAACCTTCCTCTTTCCAGCGACCTTTCCCATCATGACGAGCTGCAACAGACTGTATCGCTGATGTCGAAGAACTTGGCCCAAGTAGGAGATCTTCCGTTGCTTTACGGTGAGCATGAGTGCGCGTTTCTGGCCAATCCGTTCCAGTACTTTGACGTTGGTGACCTTCTGAGTCTAACTTATGGATAGCATGCGTCTATACGTCCACATTTCGAAAGCCTCTATACGCTTTCGAAGGTCTTTTTTTATGGTCCAAGCCTCACATCCGTACAATATAATGGGCCAGATGTAACAGTGGAGCAAACGAGTTCGTAACTTGATGTTAATGTTACGGTTACAGAATACTTTTCTCATTGTGTTAAAAGCACTACGAGTGATTTCGATACGCGTCTTTATTTCTAAGTCGCTATTCCATTCCTCGTTTAGCCATGTCCCCAGGTATTTGTATTTCCGAACTCTTTCTAGATTTTGGCCTGACACCGTTATGCTCGTCGTGGTATCCAACGTATTGGAAATGACCATAAACTTTGTTTTATTTATGTTCATTTTAAGACCAGCCTCACTACTACATCCCTCTTACCTTTCGACTATTTGTTGAAGATCAGCTGCTGTAGACGCTATTAGGACTGTATCATCGGCGTAACGTAAGTTGTTGATATTGCGTCCATTTATTTTAACGCCGCAGTCCAGGTCATGCAGAGCCTTGGATATTATGTCCTCTGAGTATAGGTTGAAAAGAAGAGGTGATAGTATGCATCCCTGTCTTACCCCTTTTTGAATGACAATAGCATCGGTTTCCTCTCCGTCCACTCTCACAGTGGCATATTGATTCCAATACAGGGTTTTTATGATTGTGATGTCTTTATCGTCGAGGCCAATGTCCTTTAATATCTCGAGAATACGATCATGCAGTACTCGATCAAATGCCTTTTCATAATCGACGAAGCAAAGGAAGACATCCTGTTGCATTTCTCTGCATTTTTGGACCAAAACCTGTATGGCAAACAACGCCTCTCTTGTTCCCACTCCGGATGTAAAACCAAACTGACTGTCACCAAGTTGTTCGTCACATTTTACCCTAATGCGTTCGTGAATAATTGAGAGTAATAGCTTCAGTACTTGGCTCATTAAGCTGATTGTCCTGAACTCCTCACATTTTTTCGCATTGGGCTTCTTGGGGAGCGTAATGAAGACAGATTTTAACCAGTCATCCGGAATCTGGCCTGTATCGTACACCAGGTTTAGAAACTTTGTTAAGGCACCCATGTTTTCTTCATCCACCAGTTTAAGCACCTCTACGTAGACGCTATCTGGACCTGCTGCTTTTCCTGTCTTTGCCTTAAATAATGCTTTCCTAACTTCATCTTTTAGAATTGGAAGTCCCTCTTGTGCATTATTATTGGCAATCGAGCTTCTTGAGTTGTCTGAAAAGATGTTCTTAATATACTGCTCCCATATGCGTTTCTTCTCTTCAAGGTCCAAAACCGGGAGATTGTTTGCGTCTACTAATTGGTGCATAGGGTATTTTCTTCCTACCATGGCTCTGATCTCTTTGTGCAGATTAAATGCATCATGTTTGTTATGGAGGATGGAAAATCAAATCTGTTACAGCGTGATAAAATATCAAATAATACTTTCTAAGATTTACGCAAATATTTGACATTTTAAATAAATATATTTCTAGATTTTTTCACAGATTTAAGTTGATTTTTGTTTCCCGACATTTCGAATGCTTACAGCAATCATAGTCACGGAAAAAAATGCTGCAAAGCATTCGAAACGGTGTCGGACCCAAAAATTTAAATAAATCAGCGAAAAAATCCGAAAGACTGTTTAAGAAGTAACAAATACACATATTAACTCACTTTAACATTTGGAGTAGCGTGATCTTCTATGAGGATCATTCCATACCCTTTCACTTATACTCATAAAACTATTGTCAACGTTCCTATAGTATTTGTTTCGATACTGCACTAATTAGAAACAACATTTCGTTTGAATTATACAATTAGCTAATGTATGCCATTTTTGCCACTCAATGATCTTTGATTTACAAGTTGTATGATTCATATGAATTAAAATTGATTTACGTACAAAGTTCTTTTAGCAAACGAGGTCTAAGTGATAGAATGATGTTTTATTTAATCGATTGCAAGTAATATTAGAATAAAATGCTTCTTTTGGGACGTTTGGAAAAAATTATGACAGTAAAATTCTAACGATGCGCGAGCACATCGACAGCCAAAAAGCGACATGATGGAATTAGCTGCATTCCTTTTAGAACAGAGAGTTGTGACATACGGAATGAAATCTTTAGTTATTTTTGTTCTGTTCGCCAAAGAAATATAACTTCTTACGTGCATACATAAGTACACACTCACACACGTTTTTTTACTTATTTTGAAATCTGATTATAAGTGTGGAATATCTTACTAAATACAAGCGTATTTATACATTATGTAATTCTTATACTTATGCTACAGTACAAAGTTGTATCAAAATCTATTTAGTAGGTTTTGTATGAAAGAGTAACAACTAACAAAGTTCCGTCCATACTGATAATATTTGTAGGAAGTTTACCAAACTCCATCAAGTCTTTTCTATTCTACATACGTGACATTGGCACGCCTTAAAACCATCAAACAAATAATATTTGTAAGCTCTTATGGTGTGACATGACATCATGCTACCAAATAACGTACCTACCTAAGACGTTACGTAGATTTACGAGTATCATAGGTTAGTCGCTAAAAGTTGTTCTAAACCTGTTGTAGTAAAGATAAAAGCTTATAAAAAAAGCTTTACCGATCAGCTTCTTGTTTTCGCAATTTTAACAAAATTTTAAAAGTCAGAGATTAAAATTTAAGACATTTTTTTGTGTTTTGTTTTTACTGGCAGCAGATGAAAGCTATAACAAAACACAAAAAAATGTTTTTATATATTTTAAATCTCCGACCTTTAAAACTTGATCAAACTTGCGAAAACAAAAGACTGGTTGGTAAAGCTTTTTTTATGAACTTTTATCTTTTTGGCAACAGGTTCAGAACAAGTTTTAGCGAACTAGCCTATGGTACTCGTAAATCTTACGTAACGTCTTAGGTAGGCATGTTATTTGGTAACATAATGTCATGAATTTGGATTTTATTCCTAACTAAAGCAAAAGAGGGAGAATATTTTGCTATTCTAAATGCCATAATTTATATTTTTTTTGTATGTAGGTATGTATGAATATGTTTATGTATCGTTGTCAAGCAGAAAGGGCTGGACGGATTTTAATATAAAATCGGTTTACAAAAAAAATAAAAACCGACTTCAAAAAAAGGAATACCAAAAATTAAAAAAAATAAGTAGATGAAATGAATCATCTCCTATTTTCTACACTTAGGGATAGATTTTTTTTTCAAATTTAAATGTGACCAACTTTGATTTTGACCCTATCCAATAAAAAAGAATCATCGAAATCGGACTATACTGTAAAAAGTTATACGTGGTCAAACATAAAAAAAATATTATTATATATAAATATAATTATCGAATTGAGAACCTCCTTTTTTCGTTAGTTAAAAATTTAGATGAGCCCGAACGATTTGCTATAAATAGTTTTAAGGCAATACATAATATGTAAATACACACTGTTACTAAGCGCTTCTTATCATTTACATTCTATCTAAAACGATTGATAGTACAAAATAATTTAAGCAGTAGCAAAATGTTTCATTAACATGTTTTTTAATGATTTCAAATCTCGTTTTAGGCAAAGAAAACAAGATATTTACAATTAAAACAATTTCCGTGACCTCTGATAACTTGGGAAGCGGAGATTCTGAGATTTTTGGACTAACCTATTGATGACAAAATAAAAATATATACAAGTTTATAGCTTACTAGCGACTCACCCTCGCTTCGCTCGGGTTCGTCCCTACGTTGATTCCCTGTACGAACTTTCATCCCCATTTTCACCTCCTTAAGGGATGATTTCCGGGATAAAAAGTATCCTAAGTCCTTTCCCGGGTTTCAAACTATCTTCTTACCAAATTTTATCTAAATCGGTTCTGTAGATCCAGAGATTACCCCCTACAACATCACAAACTCACAATCTCACAAACTCACAAACTTTACCTCTTTATAATATTATAGTATAGACTACTGGCTTAAATTTGCTTCGCTTGAATATGTTCCTATGTACCTAAATCTAGCCAAATTAAATAAAGGAGTATTTTTGTTACTCCAAGTTATAATCGATCTGATTTAAAGTTTGTAGACGTTTCAATATGAACAAACATACACTTTACACACATTACTTCTATCGTATAAATGATAGTTGTCCATATTAGGTTTAGTTACGTTTTTAATATTTTTTTTCTTATGTTATTATTTATTTACAGATGTTACGGTACGCCATATTAGCGGTACTACACTTGGTGTTGATGGCCTCCTGCACCGACGTGGACTCTGACAAGGAATTGGTCATGGCTTTTGTGGTGAGCTTATATCATACTAGTGACCTACCTTGAGTTTGCTTAGATAACAAGTGATATACCTACACATATATACATATGAATGCAGTGGTAGCCTGGTGGTAACGCGCTTGCTTGAGAATCCGTGTGAAGTGGGTTCAAATCCCGGGTCTCGCAACTCTGATATTTTCATGTGCGAATCATTTGCAAACATCGCTATAATAAATATTTTGATTGACTTAGAAATACATTCTATAGATATACTACTCAAAAGTTGAGTAAATCCAAACTTAATTATCATTTTTCAGGTCAACACACAAGGTCATAAGACCGGTATTTTAAGTAAATTGGTTATATTATTATGAGCTCTTCTTATTAATAAAATATATGATAATCTATAAATAAATAAATATGTTGGGACGTTAACACACAGCACCATCTAGTTCCATGGTAAGCTACCCTGTGTAAGGCCTGTGTTATGGATACCAGATAGTTGATACACTACACATACATATATAACTTTAAATAAATACATATTATTAATATAAACACCCATGATTGGAGTACAAACATTGGTGCTCATCACACAATTGAATGCCCCCAGCGGAAGTCGAACCCGCGACCGCTGGCATAGCAAGTAAGGTCACTACAAACTAAGCCAAACGTGTCATCATATTTAATTACCACGTCATCTATCAAATTACAAATTTTGTTTAAAATCTCTTGAGATTATCTGCATGCATAATGGTATCCTTTAATTTTATAGGTAAATAGACATGGTGAGAGGTCACCAGATGCAGATGAATTGTCTCTGTCCGATCAAAAAGAAAAACTCAAGAATCTAACATATATTGAAGGACTCGAAGGACTCACAAATGTAAGCAATCTTTCTTGTCTTTCTATCTAGCTATTGGTGGTGTTTAGATTTGCCTAGTTTCCGTTTTTTAGGGTTCCGTACCTCAAAAAGAAAAAAGTCCCATATAAGATCACTTCGTTGTCCGTCTGTATGTCTGTCAAGGTCCTTTTTCTCAGAACATGTGGAGGTATCAAGTTGAAATTAATATCAAAGATTCAAGTCTGCAATACCTTGGAGCTGTGAAAACATCAAACTTATAAGTTAACACAATCAAAAGATACATGCTGCATATTTTGACACTTGCAAGGATATCAGAATCTATAGGGTACTCGTTCACTTATAATCATAGAAATTCGACAAGATACAATGTCTTACAGCACAAGTAAAGGAAAAAATCCGAAAATCATAAATTTGTAGTAACATCACAACAAAATATTGTGATTATACTTATTTTTAATGTTTGATGCTATGGCAGTCCTCGGTCTATGAGTCAGACATGCACTTATCCGATTTTTGGAATTAATTACAATACCTTACAGTCTAATTACTTTATCTACATATATAGACGACAATTTGATTTTTACTTTTATAAACATTATCGACCACTTTACTTATGAATGTTAGTAAGTGTATACGTTTGTTACTTCTTCAGGCCTGAGAGGATTTGAGTTTATATAGACTGATCTAGAGAGTGGAGTAGCAAATAGAATTATGTTAAGGGCTTAGAGATGCACTGAATGAAGCGAAGGTGTCTTGCTAATACAGTATATTTATTTATTGTTATTTCATTTATGTAATAACTACTTATACATTAAAAGTATGTTGTGAATGTAAATGTTGTAAATGTAAATGTTTATAAGTATATTGTAAATGGCGGTCTAAGTTATGTAGTCTGACTTTTTGGTATAGAATCTTCTCATAATTCAAATTCAAATTCCATAAAATAAAGAGAATATTTGGCTCGTTTTATCTTCTTTACCGCAATAACGTGTTAAATGGAAAACGCAGTATTAGTTTATTAAAACACATCTACATAGCTTTCTCATACTTTTAAATATGGATGTGAACTACATATATTTATTAATGACCCGATTTGAATAAAAATGTTTGTTTGTCCGTCATTATACTTGTAAATATCTAAACGAGTTTTAAATAAGCTTTTAAAGAAAAATGGTTAAGTTTTTTGAATTGTATGGTTTAGCTTGATAGAAAGAAGGCAACATAATGTTGTTTTTTTTTATTTGAGTAGGAATCAAGTTAGCTGTAAAGAGTGTAGACAATATATTTTTTAATTATTTAATTTAAAAAAATCATGTAAACAGTTTATTCAGAAACATTATAAAATAAACGAATGAATCATTATATACAGAAAAAATGGCCTTGTATCGAATCGCTGGTCCGAGTCAAGGATTAATTAATTATTTAACGTTTATGATAACACTGAACTGGATTTATCGTATTGAATATCTATAAAATTAAAACTAGATTTAAACCGCGATTTTGCTCGAATAAAATGTTTTATTAGTACTAAATGATAAGTGTCTTACTCTTTTTTTCTGTTCTTTTTCTTTTTGACCGACTTCAAAAACTATTTGTAGGGGTACTCAATATTTCAGTATTTTTTGGATATATATCCAGGTCAAGTATTATAAATCGTTTTTTTTTCTTTTTTTTTATAAGAAATACACCTATATAAATTTAAAAAAATCATCTTCTACGAGTGTAGCTACTATATAATTTTGTAATGAAAAATAGCTGAATTAACCAGTTACTTCTATTTTCTTACAATTCATACAGTTCTTTAAATCTAGACGGCTTATAGATGGACGAACGGACTGAGGCTTACATATATTTTATGGAATTCCTTTAGATACCTCTCTCTGGTAACCTATGCTATATATGTACATGGATATATAGTTCACCAATTTATCTACGAGTACAAACGTCGATAATCTATTAAAATGATATTAGCCGTCCATTTTTATTATACTTAATTAACGTAATGTGTTTTAGATAAGATAACTGATAACAATTCTGCTAATAGGTGCCTTTTTTATCTCCTGATGCTGCGTTATCTCTATTTTTTCTATACTAGTTGTCACCTGCGATTCCGCTCGCGTACGTATGTATTGTAAGTACGAGTATGGTAAAAAAACTAATAGCTTCCTATTAGGAATAATAATCTTCAGAAAAGGTTCAGACGGTCTTAGAAATTATTAGAGTATGATAAATATATTAAAAATTGCCTGTTTATAATAGAGGAACTTAATCAAATGCTTCATTGAGGATAAGAACATTAATAAATATTCAGTGACTTCTTCAAGAGCCTCCGTGGCGCAATCGGCTAGCGCGTTCGGCTGTTAACCGAAAGGTTGGTGGTTCGAGCCCACCCGGGGGCGATACGTTTTACTTCTGATTTAATTAAATAGGAATTTAGTTAGCAATACCTTATTACCACAGTATAGATATGGAGTCTGTTGGACACTTGTGAAAAAACATACATACAGGAAAACATGGAAACAAAAAAAACATATAACAACCTCCTCCTTTTTTGAAATTGATAAATAATCTGTATAATCTGTATATAAATATTAAAAATGTGAAAGTTTGTGAGTTCGTCTGAACGGATCTGGGTGTTTGGAACAGAGATAGATTACAGTCTAGAATAACACATAGGCTACTTTTTATCCCGGAAAAATATACGATTCCCGAGGGAGAGATTTGTTTTTCTAGAGGCGAACCCGAGCGAAGCGAGGGTAAGCCGCTAGTCAAAAAATAAAATATTGGCATGACAACGTCTTTTCTTAAGAGAATTTTCAATTAAACATATTTCATAATCTTTTTTATTATAAAAATCCATAATACTGAAATTACGAGTCATTAAAATATTGACAATATTATATATTATAGATATGATTGAATACTATACAATCTTGATACAAAGTAACAAGTTTCCTTAAAACCAACATTTTTAGCTCCATCTTCTAACAAAATTTTACAATTTTCGAGATTATCCATAACGTTGTCTAACCTAACGAATCCTATCTAAATATTAGGCGACACAAATTGGGAGGTGGTATAAACTAATAAACTTGCGTTTTCAGACGGGCAAGCGTCGGGCTTTTCAACTTGGTAAATTCATTCGTCAAAGGTACGGATCTAAAGGGTTCGGGCTGTTATCAGATATATACTTTCATGAGGAGATAGCATTGCGAAGCACTGATAAGGAGAGGACTAAGATGACAGCTCAAATGGCCATGGCCGCTTTATATCCGCCAACAAGCGAGCAACAGTGGGATGAATTTTTGGGCAAGTTGTGGCAACCAGTTCCATACACCGCTGTACCGCTGTCTGAAGATTACGTAAGTTTTTAATAAATTTTCAGAACTTTTCAAGGACTCTTACGAGCTTATTCTTACTTTAAGGGAAAAAGTGTGAATAACTCACTTTTTTCCTTGAAATAAAAATATCTTCTATTACTTATTTCGATCTCTTATATTCACTGTTATGGCTACGTGTTGAATTGCATTACGAAAATGATATTTTCCCCGAAACAAATAACATTACATAAACAAACCGTACTGAAATTTAATAAAATGTAGTTTTTCTAATTGTCGTAAATTTAATATTTTCATAGATGTACGCGAATATTTGACTTTTAAATTAAATTACCTTTTCGGATTATTTCGCGGATTTATTTTGATCTTTGGTTCCCGACGTTTCGAATGCTTTACAGCGCACGTGGTCACGAAAAAGACTAAGGTTTAGAAGGTTCAAAGGCATTATATAGTTGTTACAGACCGCCTACCAAAATAAAAAAATGAATTCAAAAAATACAAAAATAGCACCAAAGTAATTAATTTTAAACATTTTTATAAATTAATATGAAATATTGTTTATTTAATATTAACTATTATTATTATAATTATTACAATTTTTTAGAAAACTTTATTAATTACTAATCTTATTTAGTGTGAAAATTCTTTTTCTAGACATATTATAAAGTTGCTGTTTGTTAATGTAAGCCTACCAATTCAATGTTTATAACGAAGTTTTTGTTGATCATTACAAGTACTTTTGAATCATCAATTTTTACATTAAAATAGAGAGTCTGTAAGAAAGCTACCACTTATATTATAGCCATTACAGTATATTATAGTCAGAAAACAGTCAAAAAAACTTGATAAAAAAAAGCTTATAAGCTTAAAAACATTGGAAAAAGCAAATAACGTAAAAATAAAAGTTGCTTTAGTTACATAATCTTTTTGAATAAATATAAATCTCTCCGTAATAAATGTAGGAGATTCGCAAGATTTAAGCTTTAAATGCTAGTTTTAATTAAAAGCTCCGTTGAACAGCTTTTAACCTTTATTACATACACGTACTAAAATCACAGTACTTGTAAGTTTGCTACTTCTGAAGCACGTAACAAGTTACAAGTTCACCTGGAATTCGTAGCAACAAGTTGATTTAACCTTTAGATACCAATTATCCTTAACTTACGACTTTTATTTGTTTAGATTTCGTTAAAAATTGTTCAGATTTATGATTTTGCTTAGGTTTCATTAGAATTGTTGGAAAATAGCGGGTAAAATAAAACAGCGACACAATCCCAAAAGATAGTTTTATTTAAAATGTCAAATATTCGCGTAAATCTAAGAAAATATTAAGCGGTAATTATGTTAAAAATATTTCGTACATGAAAATTTCAAAGGCCGGAATGGTACGAACCGCTTTCCTTCGCGTGATTTTCTAAGCTAGTGCGTTACAAATGGGCTGGCTTGAGCAAAGCAAAAAGTAAAGAAATATTAAAATGATATGAAGTTATAAAAAGTACTATATTATTATCAATATATATTATACTATAATTTAAATTTTTACTTGAAGGTCACATTCAAGACATGTAACACCTCAGTCTCTCCCGTGACCATGTATGCTGTAAAGCATTCGAAACGTCGGGAACCAAAATACAAAATAAATCCGCGAAATAATCCGAAAATATAGTTTTATTTAAAAAGTTTTTTGTATGTCAATCAAGCTATAGGTTATTTGATAAGAATGACAAACTAGCAAACATCGACAATACAAATATATTTTTTCAAAATTCCAGCTACGCTATTACTCTAACTGCAAACGCTTCCGGGATTTGATCACGAAAGCTAAAGCAGAAGCTATTAAAGGGGAGTTCCAGCAGTACCAAGACTTGGTGACACTAGTGAAGAAGGAAACGGGGAGGGACTTCAATGAAGATCCACTTTTGTTTCAAACACTGTTCGACTTGTTTAGAAGTGAGGTAAGTTGACTTAATATTAAAATATTCGTCTCACTGACTTCAATTACGATGACCTTACAGAGATCTTACTGAGACTAACGATTTGCACGAGATTCTTTAGATTGATATAACTTTTCTATTTGTAAATCACAAAGAGAAAAAAATCTATAAATCATTGTTTTGGGTTTAATTGCGTTAATAAAGTCACCACGTAATAGTTTTTCTCGAATATCTTCCATATACAGACAGTGATCAGTTGTAATTTTATTATATGTACGTATATATATACTACATGTTCGATGGACGATAATTCGAAACGATGGGAGATAGATAAACTAGGCAGAAAAATCATTAACTATGTGTACATGGTTGGGCCATACTAGTCATGATTACTTATGTAATTTATACATATAATAAAATTCTGAGTTGAATCTGTACATTAAATATTATTATCATTATTATCATTACAAAGGCCGAATCTATAGTTTTTAGATTTTTTGTCTGTCTGTCTGTCTGTTTGTGACCGCGTCACGAGATAATAACTGGACAGATTTTGATGAAATTTGGTATGATGATTATCCGGGTCAACATATAGGATACTTTTTATTGCGGGAAAATATATCATCTCTGAGAAATCTGTACTAAACGTTAAAACGTAACCGTAGGGACGAAACCGAGTAGAGCGAGGGTGAGTCTCTAGCGGCTAGTCTATACCTAATATATTAATATAACATAACAAGTTATCTGAAAATCAATTATTAATTCCATTTTGTCGTAAACTGCAAATAAACCACTTAAAATGTTAATGAATGTAAACTGGAATTCATACTATAGTTGACCGAGGGTTTAATTAAAGCTTCAAAGTTATTGTGATGCTATACAAATGCTGGTAATTTACCCACTCTAGATACTCAATCTTATACATATATTTAATTATTAATTAATTCATCTTCTGCAAGAATGGATATATTTTCTTGCTTTTCTAGATAATAGCTCTTTTATGTGTTTCCGTGAAATTTTCTACTGAAAGTAAATTATTTGGTTAATTCAACGTCCGTGTACATTAAACGAATACAAAATATGTACATCTATACATATAATAAAAATGTAACTGAGTCGAATCTGTACATTCATTTTTTTTTTGGAAAATCTTATTGAAATAGTCATTATTATCGATACAGAGGCCGAATTTCTATAGATTCTTAGAATTTTTGTCTGTCTGTATGTCTGTCTAACTGGGAACGCATCCAGGGTGAGTCGCTAGTATATAATAAATGTTACTTTGTTTGGAAGAAAAGGATCGTTCTATTATAATAATAATAAATAAATATCTATTCTTAAAAAGGTGATATTTATTTGTCCATTAATCTGTCTTTCTGTCTGTGTCTGTCTGTCTGTTTGTTTAAGCGTCATTCAAAATCAGCTAAGCGAATTTGAATGGAAGTTTTTAAGTCTATAGTTGTAATCACATAAGTTAAACGTAAAATGATATGAAATAAATTTAAGCTTCTCTTTATACAATCTCGAAAATGAGATCATGTTTGTTGTTTTTTTTATTATTTGTTCCCTCCACGTTCATATTATTGTTATATTTAACTTAATTCTTCCTGTGTTTATTTACTCTACAGTAAATTACAGTATGTAAAAAGTACAAAAATTATATTAAATACGATTAAAGTATGTATTAATAGCACTAAATAAAAATGCCCAAAAACTGACTTTTGAACTACAAGTACGTATAGGCAGAAGATACTTATAATTTTTTATTATGTTTTTCACAGACAAGCCTTGGTCTAGATATTCCAGAGTGGGCAAAACCCCTGATGCCTAAACTGGGTGAAGCTGCCCGACTCGCTTACAGATTGTACTTCAGAAATAACGAAATGAAGAAAATTGGAGGCGGTTAGTATATTTATATCTTGTTATTCATTCTACTTACTTGCTGTGCTATCGGTCGGGAGTTTGAGTCCCGCTGGGACCATACATTTGTGTGAATAACAAGAATGTTTGTACTCCAGTCATGGGTGTCTATATTTATAATATGTATGTATTTAAAGTTATATATGTGTAGTGTATCAACTATCTGGTATCCATAACACAAGCCTCGTAGCTTACCATGGAACTAGATGGTGCTGTGTGTTAGTGTCCCAACATATTTACCTATCATCTACCTTATAAGATTTCCCAGTCACAGAATGTCGTGTTCAATCAGATCCTTTTTCTAAGCCGCAGGTAGACTTTAAGATGATAAAAAAACGAGTGTATTTCTAAAATACGACACAAGATTGAGATAATATATTAGAGACATTTCTCTTTATTATCAAGAGAAAGTGCGGTTATCCGTCTCTTACCATATATCCTTTGTCGAAATAAATTAATTTGAATTGAAGTAATTGAACGTCCTTGTATACTCGTAAGTGCTGTTTGAGAGACCCAAAAATGTTTACTTTTAGGATAAATAAGATTTGATAGTCTATTCTTAACTTAGGTTAGTTAAGATTATAAATGAGAAAGTTTGTGAGGATGTATGGATGTCTGGATGTATGCATGTTTGTTATTGTTTCACGCAAAAACTACTGAATGGATTTTAATCAAACTTTGCAATAATATAGCCCTTATAACAAAATAACACATATGTACTTTTTATCCCGGAAAAATGTACGGTTCCCGTGGGATAGATTACTTTTTGTTTTTATAGAGGCAAACCCGAGTGAAGCGACGGTGAGCCACTAGTAATATTATAAACCCAAGAATAACTTTGTTTTTCCTTTGTTTGAATACTTTAATCTGTGGCACTCGCAATATGTAAAACTTGAAAATTCCTTTTTTTTTTGTTTTTAACGTATATTTGGTAAGTAGCCGAGATAAATTATTGATAGATCAAATTCGTGGATGGAATTGCGTACAAAAGTTATCCAATATTATTAATGAAAATAAATTGCCGACCGAATATATAACTTTCTAATCGAAAGGTGACTAAAGAAAGGAAAATAATAAGACAGGTTTCACATAATTGTAAAATTTTCTCGCTAACAGGGTTTTTTTACATATATTTAGATTCATGTATACGAAGTCCTGGGTATCGCATATCATATAAATAAGCTTTACGAGACTCAGATTATTTTTCTTCCAAAAATTTTTACTGCATAATATAGAGTTTATAGAGATTTTGACAAATTAGACATAAAAGATGGCGGGATGAGACGGTCTCCTTCGAGACAGGTCTATTGTGGCGAAAGATAGCGAGCAGTAGACGAAGAGTAGGAAGGTCTGTGCCCTGCTGTGGAACGCCATAGGGTTATAATATAATAATAATAAGTTTATAGTAACAATTCCATGAAAAATAGAGTCAGTCACTACATAGCTGCTAACATATTTGACAAAGATTATTCTTGTATTTATTCTTTAAGAATCTGTTAAAATCCACTAATTTAATATAATTTATATGTTTAATAGCTAACAAGATTTGAATACAACTTGCGTAAATAATGCAAATTTTTATTCGAACATAGCTTTAAAATGAATGAATGCAGTGCACGATGCAATGAAAATTCGTATCTCGTTTCCACTCATGATGTGAAAGTTTCTAAATAGAGTAAATTTCTAACTAATTTTGTCTGAGTAATGATTAAACAACTATTTAACTAAATATTTATTATACCGTTTATTTATAATAAGATATTATAATTAAATATGCGAGAATTCCAAACATTATATTTTTTTATATAAATAAAACGACTTGTTATATATTTGTAAAAAAATCTAGTATTTACTTCTTTCTATACAAAAAACAAACCTTCTAAACAAGTATTTACAAACCCTAATCAAACATCTCTTTAAAAGTAAGTAATTCCCCAATCGAAGAGTCTCGAATAATTTATATGAGACGATTTATTTATAAATTAATAAAAATCGATTAACCATTAACGAAGTTATCGAGTAATACAAAATGTTAAAGGACTCACGAAATAAATGGTTTGAATTATAATAGCCATGACATTAATATGAGATTTTTTCAGCGGGCAAAATGAGTGACAGAAAAATTTTATATTTTTTATTATATGTATGTAATAACTTGTATTCTTTTAAAGTTGACGTGAGATTTTAAATTATGTTCCTTCAGCTTAAATGAGATTTGATGAGATTTTAGTGCCCTCTCTCAGGTGTTTCACTACAAAGGCTACTGTTTTACCACATCATAGTCTATCAGTTCACTTAACATACAAACCCGTTCAGCCTTTACAAGATGAAGAAGAAACAAACATACATATTACACACATACAAATTTTCATATTTTATATAGCATTCCAAGGCAGTGGTAGCCCAGTGGTAACGCGCTCGCTCGGGAAACCGAGTGAAGCGGGTTCAAATTCCGGGTCTCGCACCTCTGATATTTTCATGTGCGAATCATTTCTAACATGATTACCACTTGCCTTACGGTGAAGGAAAACATCGTGAGGAAACCTGCATGTCTGAGAGAACTTAGCAAGTTTTCAAAAGACATGTGAAGTCCGCCAACCCGCACTTGGCCAGCATCGTGGACTATGGGCTGATCCCCCTCGTATTAAAGGGAGGCCCGTGCCCAGCAGTGGGACGTTAAAAACGGTTGAATACATACATACATAAAGTATTCCAGTATAATACGTATTTAATAACGATTTAAATATCTCCTTTCGTTATTAATGCAATTTAAAGCTTTTGTAATAAATATAATTTTACGCTTCATCCCTATGAATCTGATAGGATGTATATTGTAAACCTTTTTCGTTATTATCATACAAGCTTCCGCACTTCGCCAGATCGAAGCACTGAGCTTAACCTGGAGCTTTCGGATAAGCTTAATTAATACAATTCATAAGTCAGTGATTGCCAATTAAATAGAGTGGAGTTACTAATGTATTTAATAATATGGGAATTGTTGTGTTCTAACCAAATGAAAAATATTGCATTTTCCTGTAAATCTGATTAATGGATGTTTTATAAATTTATCTTTTATTTTTAAATAATATTTGATTTGTAATATAACTTGTTCAGTTCGTACACTTATTATAATTTTTTTTATGTTTATCTCACCCAAAGCCAAGTGCGCAGAAAATATTACATATTATAGTGCACAAGTATGCGCAAAAACACATTTTTTTCTTTTTACTTTCAAACTTTGACAGACAATTCGTTACGATGGATATGTTATCTGTACGTAATGATTTTTTTAATTTATTAATTTAATACGTTTTGCTAATTGTTACATGTCATACAAAAATCATTTTAATTATATCAATAATAGAGCACAATATTTGTGCTCAACCGCTTAAAAGCACACAACTTGTCCGGTTTCACAATTAATAGGACTAATTAGTAATGAATAAATATGTTGGGACATTTACACACAGCACCATCTAGGTACACGGTAAGCTACGAGGCTTGTGTTATGGATACCAGATAGTTGATACACTACACATATATAACTTTAAATACATACATACCACCCATGATGAAGTACAAACATTCGTGCTCATCACACAAATGAATGCCCCCAGCGAGACTCGAGTCTCGAACCCGCGACCGCTGGCATAGCTAGTAGGGTCACTACAAACTGAGCCAGACGTGTCGTCGGTAATAAAATACTAAAAAACAAAGTTATGAATATTATAGATTACACATTATAATAGTTTTGACGTTCATTTCTTTTTCAGGAGTCATTCTAAATGATTTTGTTAAAGCCGCTACAGATATTGCGGCAGATAAAAAAGTAAAGAAACCTTTCCGTATGTACTCGGCGCACGATTTCAACCTTGGTGCCCTGATGGAGGTGACCAAGGTCATCAGGCATGAACAGAGTATACCTGAGTACGGGTCTCTGTTTGGTATTGAACTGTACAAATCAAAGAGCACAGGAGAGTTGAGTGTCATGGTGAGTTATGTTATAAGTATACTATGATTATTGAGGGTAGATGGAGAGAATATAATATTGTGTTGTTGTTGTCAGCCCTTGTTAACGTCCCACTGCTGGGCACGGGCCTCCCTTCAATACGAGGGGGATCAGGCAATAGTCCAGAGGGAATGAAACTCAGTCTTTTTAACCGACTTTAAAAGGGAGAATTAAATTGGTTGTACATACGCTTTTTGTATGATGTGTCTATACTACATGATATGTTTGCCATTTGTGTATACATATATATATATATATATATATATATATATATATATATATATATATATATATATATAATTGTCATAATTATTGAAGTGAAAACTTGTTTAGGCACGTTGGGCAATTTTGGGATGGGGTAAAAGCACTGAGCTCGCATAACCGTCACGCTCAGATAATATATATATATATATATATATATATATATATATATATATATATATATATAATATATAGATGTGTATATAAACAAACACATCAAAAGAGCTATATATTTTATAGATAATAATCATTCTTTTTCATGCAAAACAACGCAATAAATGAACATTTTATTACAATATTAATACGTTGATAAAAATAATTTCTAATAAAAAATGCTTCCTATAAAATATTTCTTAACAACCCAAAAATAATGTTTACAAGTTTGTGAAGCTAAGAAGTTTTAACTTCTGACGTGCAGCTCTACGACTGACAGTCATTTTTTTAATGAATAGATTAACCGATATTTTCAATATAAAATTTCATATATCTAGGAAATGGTTCTAACGATTTGAATCAAAATTTGTATATAGATAAAATTTTGCTTTTCAAGTTTATCTTAATAGGTTTTTTCTGAATAAAAACGCTAAACACTAGACTTGGCTAAATTATCAGATAAAAGAAGAAGTGTCCAGCTTAGAGTGTGTAGTGTAGCAATAGATTTCTAATTTCTATTCTTATTCAGAAAGTAATACGGTGTAAATTCATTTGTAAAATCTGCGTGAGTGCAAAATCACGTATCGTGGGAAGTTTTACTTGGAATAAACTATCAATATGCCTGAGATATGTTACAAAGTAAGAGGACAAAATGAAGATATAAATTGAAATATTTGAATCTTTTATGACATAGAGTAATAAAATAGAACGGGTCAGTATATATGCATCATAACAGTAAAGTTTAAGACTCTGTTTGTCCGTCAACGAAACTGATTTTAATAGTTCTATTCTTGCAAGACTATTTTCAAAACTAAATATAAAAGTTTATTGTTTCATAGTTATTTGTACTAAATTGTTAAATTTTACGGAATGCAATAAAGGAAATGGGTTCCCATGGGATAGAGTATTGAAGTAGTATGGCTAATCAGAATTTTAACGAGTTTTTATTGACAGGTAGAGGTACATACATGGTAAAATTGCCATAGGCGTTTTGTAACCGTGGACGACAGCTAGTGAAAAATACCAATTAGCTAGCATCATGTAGAAATCGAACGCCGACTTTAAGCTTAATAGTGAGATATGGCACTATGCCACGATTGTCGATTTAATAGTATTTTTCATGTTGTAAATATGATATTTGCAGTGTTTTCACTTACATTTATGAATTCACGATATTGCGGAACTATTAGGAGCGCCAGGATCACGGATATACTCAATATATTGAGAATACTCGGTCTACTAAATATACTAATTCTACTGAAAACTTCATAAAGTAATTGATAACTATAAAAGCTCAAAGGTAGTTCCCGAAAAGGCAATCTCAAAGATTTTGTAAACACCGCAACTCAAGTGTGTGCGGACAATTCGTTCTAATCTTAGCGCTCGTCCCTTGCTAACTGAAGTTTATTTAAACATTTGGCTCTTGAGAGTGAGTTTACATTTACTTTTTGATAGAAAAATAAGTTTTTTTTTATTTTAAATAAAACTATCTTTCAGGATTATTTCGCGGATTTATTTTTAACCGACTTCCAAGAAGGAGGAGGTTCTCACTTCGTCGGAATCTTTTTTTTAATGTATGTTCACCGATTACTTGAAGACGCTTAACCGATTTGGATTATTTTTTGTTTTAAAGGGTATACTTACCAAATGGTCCCGTATAAATTTTATCGAAATCGGTCGAGCAGTTATTCCTAATCAGATATTTTCGAAGTCGGTGCGGATTTATTTTGATTTTTGATTCCCGACGCTCAGAATGCTTTACAGCAATCATGGTCACAGGATAAAGTCTCTCCCGAGAACATAGTTTTACTTAAAACTAGCGACTCGCCCTCGCTTGGCTCGGGTTCGTCCCTAGCTTGATTCCCCATACAAACTTTCATCCCCATTTTCATCCCCTTAAGGGATAATTTTCGTGATAAAAAGTAACCTGTGTCTCAGGGTCTCAAACTATCTTCTAACTAAATTTTATGTAAATCGGTTCAGTAGATCCATAGATTACCCCCTACAACGTCACAAACTCACAAACTTTACCTCATTATAATATTAGTATAGATATGTCATCAGTCGGTTTGCAGATTGATGCAAACTAGGCTTGTCAAACAGCCTAGTTTCAGAGCGGTACAGTTATTGTATGAGCTTTTATGACTAATAGTGGGTTATTAATTTAATTTTCAATACGATGGAGATGAATTAATTGTCTTTTAGTAATTTTAAAGACATCCTAATCACGAAAATCGGTTGGCATTTGCCATTTCTTCAGTATCATGTATACGCACAAAAACATGCTCTGAATTGAGTAGGTATCTCTTGCTTTTGGTATAAGAAACACAAATATCTAACAATTTTTTATAATAAAATGCTTATAACTCTGTTGGTACTTTTACGCACATGGCTGTTTTTTGCATAGCTGGGTCCAATTAATAAAAACGAGAAAAAACTAAATGGAATTAGGTTTTTCAATTAATTAGGTTTTAGGTTAGGTTTAGGTCTGGCTTCTACGAGTATAGTCGGTGAGTCAACACATGTAGTACAGTGGTATGGGTTAATTTTCCCAACGATTGAAAAATAAAGGCTTTCAATCAGTATTAAATTACAAACATTTGCCAATTTTAACGCATTTACTATGCTGTTGTCTCAGACGGAGTCCGCTAAAATAAATGTAACAATCAAAAATAGTAGCGTAATTTACTGTTTATGATACTATTCTTGATTTCTTTAAAGAATAAGTTAAACAAAAGTAATACTATATTCTTTTAAGTTTTTGAATGATTATTTTTATTCCCTTTGAAAGAGAGCTGGTATATTAACTTATTTATATTTTTTTCTTATTATAATAAGACCCGTTAGCTGTTTTTATTTATTAACATTTATTTATTCATCACTCAGTATACACATTATCATTTGTATACTATTTTAAAACATTACATATTTAGTTATAAGATTAATAATAATATATGATAGATAAGATAGAGTGTTATCTATAATATTTATTCTGATGCTGTTTTAGAGAGCCTTCGGCACATAAGATTTCCATGTAAATTATAACAATTATTGCATTCTAACACATTTTTATCTTTCCAGCCAATCTATTTACCTCGCGCCGGTGATTCTGAAGTTCAATCCCTTCACTTCACGGGATGTGAAACAAGTAGCTACTGCGATTTCAAGAAATTCCAACAGATGACTAAAGAATACCTTCTGCCTGAGAAAGAATTTTACAAGATCTGTAATATACGGACTGAGCTGTGATATTATGAAGCAGTAAATTGAAGATTAATAATAAATAACTTTTTTTTCTACTGATTTGCTTTTTTTATTGAGTGTTGGGTTGTTATCAATTATCATGCATGGTATAAATTCACATCAGATAAGAATTTCCTATCAAATTTCCCATAAAAAGAAATAAAACAGTCATAATCAGGCTATTATGGTTTGCATGAAAAAACGATAGGGTTGAGCTGCAAACTGTCAAAGTGATGATGATAATGATAAAGTATTTTATGTAATAAATATATACATACAGGTCAAACACATAACCCTTTTTGGGCTTCGCCGCAGTCGGGTAAAAAGGAGGAGGTTCCCAATTCGTCTGTAGTTTTTTATGTTTGTTATCTCAGAACTCTGTCATTTATTAACCGTTTGGTTTTTTTCCTACATTATATTCTTACTATCGGACCTAAATAACTCTTTTTTTTAAATGAAGGATTTTTTCTTCATTTATAATTACAGCACGATTTTTATATTATGAGAAAAACTTAACTTAGAATTTGATTCGATTTTAATACTTTTCGACCACACAAATAATCTGAAAGAGGTTTTTTTTCATACATAATCAATATACATATTTTAATTTCATTATATTGCATACTGTAAAGTATATACTATACGTTCTAAAATATTAAATACAATTTTCCGTCCATAGCATTTTTGATTTGATGAAAAGCTAATATTAGCTGTGTTACTGTTACAGTGTTTTACGATATAGGCTAGCGATAGCCTTTGCCTTATTATTTAATAATAAGGACATTTCATCACACAATTTTTAACGTAAAGTAGTCTGCGTTTTTCTAGTGCTCATAAACTGTATATATTTAAAGTACTATTTAACTAAAAAAAACTAGCTCACCGTTTTCAAAATGTGTATAAAAGTAATTCTCTACCGCAAGTCAATATCGAACCCGCGAACTCTGACTTAGAAGGCACTATTAGATAGAAAATTGAGCCTAACGATCCTTATCAAATATAAATAACATACAAAATGACTGGTTTACAAATAATTGTGTTGTAAAATCGTGGATTGATTTTGATAAGGGTCCTCTTATTACTATGTCCAGCGGCAGTGAGTCCCTTGTCATGTTGACGAGGTAATGTGAATTGTTTAGATACAATCACGTTCATTTCAATGAGAAATTGTTGGGTTTCCGATTTCAAAGGGAATGAGTGCATGAAATATTCGGTAAAGTAGAAGTTTAGAGGATTCTTAGTTATTAGTTATTCCTATAATTTAAAATTTTCCTAACAAGATTAACTTTTAGAGAAAAATGCTGAATTATTTGGTTTTTTATGGGCTTCAACAATGCCCTATTTTATATTAACCAAGCAAAGATAAATATCTGCAACACGGTACAAGATTTATCCTACATATATGCGACATTCAGCATCGTAGGTAATACAAATAAGGTATCCAAAACCTGAAACTCAACAACAAAACCCCTAAAACTTTACATTTTGTCTATGGAACCTGCCCATGATAAGAATCACTCAAATTTCCTGTATCCACTAAGGAAAGCCTTTTAAAATCTATTTACCTATTCCGTAGAACAGTGGTCACAAACAGACAGACAAATATTTATATTTTGTTTAGGGATTTCGTAACATATACCTATATAAATAAGTATTTTTGGGACAAACAATTTTATATTGTTATATCAAGACTAGACACTTTTTTTATTTATTCGAATAAAATAGACTATTAAAATAAAATTATTTCAATAATACTAACTTGCCAAACTTATCCGAGCTTAAAATATATTTTTCAATTTCTCGACATTTCCCATCGATCTTTATACTTTGGTATATAGGAAGTTTTATCCCTCACATTTTCACTTCAAAATAACATGTAGCCGTTAGTTTTAGATACCATACATCATTTTTGCGGCTATAATACTTTATTTATTTATAAGCTATTTGGAACCTTCATATATTATACATTTCCGTCGTCCATGTATATACTGCAAAAAGATAAAGAAATCTAAAAATGTAAAGAAAGTTGGATAATTTTATTGTCTTTTGCATACTACAAAATAAATATAAAAATATGAAAATTTACATGAAAGAATAGATACACAGCAGGTAGACTTATCGTTTTGAGCTATATTTTCTAGTTAATTTTAGGGTGGAGAAATAACCATATGAAATGGTATGCGGTGTACTTACCTACATACAAATTACTACATAATATATGACATTCAAACATACATATATACGTACATTCTTAACATATACAATATACTATATTCATACTCCTAACATACTTATCTATATCATTATTTTTGTTTATACGTAATAATTTATATGTATATACTATACATACATGCACACACACGTCATAAATATATACCTACAAACAAATATTATGTACATGTTTTCTGTGAAATCTATAAGGCAATAATCTACAATTAGACACAATCTGAAAAAAACAAAGTTTCCAATCAAGAGAGCGATCAGGTGCAAGATCGCAACGCAAGGAAAAAGATGTAGCACCACAAACTTCTAAATACCGAGCTGCTACTGAGAATTTCTTAATAGAAAACCCCAATAACCACATTTGACCCTGGCCCGACCTAGGACTTGAACCCACGACCTGCTACCAAATATGTAGTATGTAGTAGAGCAACGAGGCAATAAAAAAGTAGCAATAACATAATTGCCAAAACCCAATTGAACGATAAATCGAAGCAAATGACATAAAATGATATACAAGCAAATAATTTAATGAGGGAACGATGAAAAATTTGGCAAAACAAATTAATTATTATTAAACAGTATCGATAAATCTGATGGCGCGTAATGATATGGTATTATAACGATTATTCTGTTAAACTAATAAAGCCATAATTACATACATGTAACAATCGCTGTTGGGAAATATGGGAGATTTTAACGGAAACGAAAAATACTGTTTTATAAGGCTAAAAAATATTTTAAACTAGGGACTTACCCTCACTTTGCTCGTGAGCGTCTCTTCGTGGATAGCAATCGCCTATGTATTACTCCAGGCTATATTTTATCTGTGTAAAAAAAGCTTCGATCACGCATGTGTGGAGGTTTTTTTTTAAGTTCCGGTTGAAGAGCTTTTTAAAAAAGTGTTTTTTTTTTTATAAAAAACTAATGACTTGATGACAACAGTAGTTTATTTGTCACTCCACGTCAGAATACATTTAGCCGTTGAATCGTGAAGGAGCAACAAACATGCACACACGTGCATTTGGACCAAATCTTAATTATTAAAGCTTCAAATACACATTAATAGTACTACTACCACGTGCATCTGCTTCTGGTATTTAATTTCCTTTGAGACTATGCGTGTTTTTGGTGCCTGAACTAAATCAATATTGCTATTCTGTAAGAACTTTTAAGCAACTCGACAGCCGAATCCGCGAACAGGCTTCATACTATATTCTTATGGTAATATTATAATTATAGGAAGTATTATCGATCAATTCTTAAGTATTGAAGGTATGGAGATACCCTACTTTAGTTTTAAAACATCGGTGAGTGAAGAATTTCCTTATTGAAAGCAAAATTCTAATTCGCTGAAGATTGAAGGGTTCTTTTGATTTTAAGATAAATTTATATTTAAAAATATTATTTATAATAATGCTTTGGCAAGACCAATTTATTTATTCGTAAATAACCCAAAATTCGAGTAAAACGTTGCCTTAGCCTTTAATCTGTGAAGCGTCCACACGTTTACGAAGTCAAGAGCTTCAAGAGCTTAAATTTTAAGCTCAAGTCTCTTGAAATTTTGTCAAAGAAGCTACAAGTAGACTTCCAGGGCCACTGTTGGCGTCAACGTTACTTGGTACACTTTCAAAGCTCGGACATTGGCATAATTTGGTGAGCTTTTTGATTAATATTTACCCATATCTTCTTTAATGTAGCTTCCAATAATAAAGATCGCACTATGATGTTAGCGAGAAACTTTCTCAATAAGTGGTTCAAAAAGAATTTTTCAAATAGGACTGAAGTAGAAAGCAATAAGTGTGTCCAAATAAAAAAGCACACCCAAACAAAACAATCCGAACTCTTCAGCTTTATTAGTTTGTACATAATATGTTTATTTGTATATAATCAAGTCATAATTTAAAAGGATCTAGTCGTAGTTAAGAATATTCCTCTTCTAAATGCTTGACATAGGTACATTAAAAATTTCCTTGGATTCGAGTCCTAGGCCCACCTAACTCCAAACTTAACCATATTGCATTTTTCTATCAAGACATTAGCATCAAGAGACTTGATGGTGTTACGTGCTTTAAAGAGCACGTTTAACTAACAATCCAATGCTGATCTGCGATTGTCAAATTATATATCATCCCATCCAACCTATGCAACTAAATATATTTAGATATAATTTATTTTGTTTTGTTTTTTTATGAATTACTTTATCTGATCTAATAAAAGTTAGCCATATTAGTATGTATGTTTGCACCTATTAGTAACGGTTGAACGGCTTGTTACTTTATGATAGATTTTTCAAAATTATTTATGAAGTCGTCAGTCTTGCTCCCTTCTAGGTTTTTTAAACTAAACAGAATATTTTAAAACCAATTTTTTCTAATTCATTTCAATATACAACGAAATTAGTTAATTTTTCATGTTAATTATATAAATGTTTATAGTAAATCAGTAACACAAGCTCTAATTAACTTGATTCCATTTAATTATACTCCCACAAAACATCTTATTCATGTAACAGAATATCAGAAACAACCAGTTGAAACATGTAAATGTTTATTCAAATAGTAACTACCCACGTAAGAAACCTAAAGTGACGAATTTCAAATCTAACTTCTTAAAATATCTGTAAATGTGAAAGTATGTTTGTCGATTAAATATATATTATACCTATAACTCCTCAAAGCGTTATAGATATGCATATGTATGTCTATACACCGTACAACCCCCCATAAATCCCATGCGAGCGAGAACAGTGTCAAGTACACAGAGTGCAAATAGGTGTTTAG